ATGAAATCAAAGGATGTAATCTTGCCAGGATCACCTTGGGCGACCCTGGGAAGCTGGCGCCGAAGAAATATCTGGCGATGACCAGGAAAAATCTACGCCTTACAGTAGGATTTCTGACTGGCCACTGTCAGCTAAGGAAACACCTACATAATATGGGGCTAGTGGACACACCTCTATGCAGGATGTGTGAACAGGAAGATGAGACTGTCAGGCATGTCCTGTGCGAGTGCCCGGAGTTATCGTCAATAAGAGAGTGTGTGTTCGGCGAGTCTTGGCCTACACCTGCCGATATAAAGGAGATGTCTCCCAGCGACCTGTCCACCTTCCTGGAAGGGAAAGGATGGACGATGACCTAGGAGGACAACTCCTCGGAAGGATGTACAATGGGTCACATGTGGCCTAAGTGCGTGGGCTTACACTCACCCTCCCTACTCTACAGATACAGATACAGATAGTGAGAAGGGTGCGCTTGTTTCTGTTTGCACAGATGTTCAATATTGGGTTGTATCATAGATAAATACAATCTTAAGTCATCTTCAACATTTGATTTATTACTGTATTTATTTTTAAGATAAGTTAAACTTGAGAACCCTTTCTCACATAAATACGTGGTGCAAAACCCATCAAGAAATTTACTAGCAGTGTGAGACAGTTCTTTGTGCCCCCTCCCAACAGAGATCCAAAAATCTAACAATGTAGTACCAGAATATTTTTTTTCAACGTGGGATCACACGAGATTTCAATAAGCTGCTCCTTTTCAACAGTCGTTATTGTTTAAACACGATTGAGTAACCACGAAATTAACAAGCAACACTGACTACCGCAAAAACACTGCTTTGGCGGTGTTTACTAGGTAGGAAAGAATTTTATTTTGACTTTGTATCCCCCACCTTTTTACCCTTACTTCTCAATGTTTTTTACCACTTTTATGGGAAAAGTGATGAAAGTGGTAAAAAACATAGAAAGTTTAATTTATCTCCTCTTCATTATTTTATTTCAATTTAGTCATCATCAATGTGGAAAACAAAAATTTGAGCAAAAACGAAAGGGATGTTATAAAACATATGCTGGAGCTTTGTCGAAGTTTTACTTTGTTGAGAGACACGTCCATCTTCCGTATACCTTAGATTTTAGAGTTTTTTCCTCTATTAAAATTTAATTGTTTGTTGGCCAGCCGCATACCCCTACTCTTGAGGAAGCTATTGTATAGCGAAAACACGTGTCGCGGTTTTTGTAAAACCCTTTATAGTGAAAGTCACACAATAAACCGTATTAATTAGTTTTAATATAGATTTTCATCAAGTATTAGCCAGTTTTATTCAATTATCGTTGGTATGTGCACATTTTTAATACAAAATTTCGGAAACAAAGTTCTGTTGTTGATTCAAACTGTTTCATCTGCAGGGTTGGCAGTACTCAGCGACAATGTTCATTCTTCTCAACACTTTGGCTTTGATATTCATCTCATACGCATATATGAGAATGATAAATGAAATTAGGGCCAGTGGAGTGGCATGTAGGTCAACTAGACAAAGTCAAGATGGAGATAAGGTTGCTAAAAGATTTGGGATCATCGTCTTCACAGATTGCCTTTGTTGGGTCCCAATCATTCTAGTGAAATTAGTTGCATTCTCAGGTAAGTAATGTTATTGTGCAGTAGTTAATAATAATAATAATAATAATGTTTATTTTGACAAGTTTTAGAAATGAATCAAATTCACAAAATGCAAATAAACATGATACATCTCACTGAAGTGGTGAATAACTTACATTATTGACCTCTTGCACGTGCGAAATATACTATAACTCCACATAAAAAAAAACAAAAAATATATACATATACACACCTACATACATATAACATAATTATTTGGTATATCTGGTTTGTTTCATTTTTATAATCAGGTAATCCCATATTCCCACATTGAACGTGTATTCTGGTTAGTATCTTGAACATTTTTTTGTTTTTTTTTTAGATATGGTTTTTTATCAGTTTACTAAATATACCTCTTCCTGTTTCAAGAATCCATGTTTTTATTTTTAGTTTAATTGTAATTCTTCTGGTATCATATTATATAATTTAGGACCCAAATAATAGAAAGTATGTTGTCCGATAGTTTTATTGCACTTAGGAACTTGTGTTCTGATATTTTTAGTTCTTGTCTGGTAAGAATATTCTGGTGGGCATATTAAATATTTGTTTGAGTACATACAGATGAGAAGTTTTTGTCCATATGACTGCCTTATATCGCATACTTGACTTATCTCATATAGTTTGTCAGAGGGGTAACTGATGTTTTTTTTGTATATGATTCTTAATATCCATTTCTGTAAGACGTTTAGTTTTTCTAGATGTGAATCGTATACTCCTCTCCATCCAAGGATGCCATAGGCTAGGAGAGACTGAACCAAAGAAAAGTAAATGATTTTCTGATGATTTATATCCAGAAACTGATTCAAGAATCTGAATCTTCCCAAAAGGCCTCTCAATTTATTGACAAGACTATTGATATGTAGATCCCACCTTAAATGTTGATCCATGGTAATTCCCAAGTACTTTACTGTTGTGACTTCTGGAATATGTGTGTTTGAGTCAATTATTAGATTTCCTAGATTTGGTAAGTGACTTTTATATGAGGCAAAAGACATATACTGTGTTTTATCGACATTAAATGTGAGCTTATTTAACTGAAACCATTTTTGAACCATTGAAAAGTCACCCTCCGCATCGATTTTCAGTCTCTCCCAGCTTTGTGATGTGTAAAATATAGCAGTATCATCAGCGAAACTGATAATACTACCCCTTGATTCAAATTCCAACAGACTGTTTATATAAACGCTGAATAAAAGAGGTCCAAGTACTGATCCTTGGGGAACACCAAATGTTATTGCTCTCATTTGACTGACATTGTTATTTAAAGATATTTGTTGTTGTTGATCAGTCAAATAACTCTTCAACAAATCATGAACTCTACCTCTTATTCCATAAGCGTTCATGTTTTCAATAGAATGTCATGTGAAACAGTATCGAAAGTTTTAGAGAGGTCTATGAAGATACAAAGTGCTGGTATCTATTGCTTCATATATTTTTTTTGATAATGCACAAATAGTATCTTCAGTTGAGCAACCTTCTCTGAAGCCAAGCTGTTTTTTTGAGATAACATTATTTTTATCAAAGAATTCATAATCCTGATTTTCAATATTTTCTCGAGAATTTTTGCTTTCATAGAGATTATTGTTATAGGTCGGTAATTGTCTACTTTTTCTTTATTGCCTTTCTTGAAAATGGGTTTAATATTTCCAATTTTCAGGGATTTTGGGAAATAACCACTTTCGAAATATCTATTTATGAGTACAGACAATGGAAAAGCAACAAGATCCGAATTCTCTTTCAGGGTTTCAGCTCTAATTCCATCTACTCCGGGTGCTTTTTTGGGCTTTAAACTTTTTATGATTTCTATAATCTCTAACTCATTTGTTTCATATAAGAACATGGAGCACGTTCCATGAGTATTCTAGCCAATTAAAAAAATCAAATAATAATAGTGATAATAGTATTCGACCCGCTCGGAGGGGTCGGAGGCAAGGTGGTGGGGCCCATAACGATGATTTGCCCACCGATGACAACCCTGGCAATGACAACGGACGCTTTGAGTGGACACATGAGCTAAGAGATAGCCTTATGCATTGCTACGAGAATAGTGAGTCCGCGCGAAGAGGGTACATGGCGAAATTGCTTGCTATGTAGTGTTAAACACATCAGGAACATGCTCGCCAATCAGAACACGCAGGGCGCTCCACATAATTAGGCAGCTGAATCCACAGGAACTGGCTTGTTTGGATGCGGAGGTTCATAGTGTTCTAACGGAAGAGGCTGACATGTGGCAAATCAACACCGCCGTGTATAGCGTCATCCAATAGCTTTTCGAATCGGAAGGACGAAATTCCGGCCTTGCAATTCGGAAGAATAAACGGCGTGTACACAAGATGGAGGCTAAGATCACGTCAGCGAGACAACATGCATGTGATGGATTACAGGGCGGCCAATAGGTCTTTCACGCCGGCAGTGCGGCGAATAGCTGCCAATCTACGACGTATCCATCACATTTTGAGTCAAGGCGTGCTGCTGACCACCAAACCACCTTGATAGGATACGAATGATGGTGGCTGCTAAGAAGTCACTAGTGTGGCGAGTGAGAAGTATCGTGGAAAACCTTAGGTTCAGCGAGAGACCTTCCCGCTTATTCCAAGAGCCTCCACGTGTTGTGTATAATCCGCCGACCGCTGTTCAGGTGGAATCCTTCTGAAAGGATATCTATGAACACCCGCAGCCACTCAACTTTGACACTCCAGCCCTAGCGCAGTTCGAAGCTTTCAACAAAGAGCTTCGACATCCTGAGCTCAATGAACTGCGCAACCCGATAACCCCGGATGACGTTCGAAGAGCCCTTGTGGGTTCCAAGAACTTTGCTGCTCCAGGCACAGATGGGCTGAACACTTATTGGTGGAAAAAACTACCAAGCACCCACCGCCATCTGGCCAGAGTTTTCAACTCATGGCTGGACGGAGAGCAGCTGATTCCGGATTGGTTTGTCGGGGGGCGGACCGTTCTCATCCCCAAACGTAGAGATTTGTCGATTCCTAAGAATTACAGACCGATACAAATCTTGAATTCGTGTTATGAGTTGATTACATGCATCTTATACACAAGAATACTCACCGCAGTTGACCTAGTATTTGAAACGATATATGAGTAGAAAGTGTCGAAGAGAGGAGTCTCTGGAAGTAAAGAGAACCTGCACATCGCTAGATGATTAACGCAGGACTCGATACAATATGAGCGTAACCTCTCTGTGGCCTGGATTGATTACCGCAAGGCATTTGATACAATATCGCTTGAGCTCATCTTGCATTTGCTCAGATGCCTTGCAGTACACGACAAAATAGTGAGATGCATTGAACAACTGATAACACTTTGGCGAGCTCGCTTCCCCACAACATCTGGTCAAGCCAGAGTCGAAACAAGGTGGGTCACTTTCAGAAGGAGTGTATTTCAGAGCGATTCCCTCAGTCCCTTTCTCATCTGCATCTCACTATGGCTATTATACGTTGCGCACAAGGTCACCAATTTTTTTTATATGGATGATCTTGAACTTTATGCCTCTGGAGAGAAGGATCCCCATCAGTCCTTGAGGGTAGTGGAATAGTACACGCATGCTATCGGTATGAAATTCGGGATAGTCAAATGTACAACAGCCCATCTTGAAAGAGGACGATGCGGGGTCTATGGAGAAGATGTGCATCTCGTAGATGGGAGCATCCTACACCATCTGGATGCCGGAGAGACGTATACTTACCTCGGGGTGGAACAACGCCACTCAGAAGAGGTAACAGCAGTGAAAAACTCACTCCGCGGCAAGTATCAACACAAACTTCGACAGATCTGGTCATCGGAACTGTCAGGGAAGAAAAAAGTTGCTGCAACAAATATGCTTGCAGTTCCACTACTCGTTTGGAATAGTGAATTGGACTCGGGTGGAGCTGTATCAACTCGACGTAAATACCTGAAAAATGATGCATCTCTATAGGAGTCTGCATCCAAAATCGTCTGTACCACGCTTGTGTTTCCCCCGGCAACAGGGAGGTCGTGGACTTTTGAGTTTGGAGTGTCTACATCCCCTTCTCTGCATGGTCCGTGGCATTGAGAGAGCAGAAATTAGAGCATTTCTTAGGGCAGCTGCCCAAGCAGCTGATGAACTTGGTTTAGTTTTCGACACTGAATGAGGTGATCACAACTCTGTCACCAAGTTGGAATCCATTCAGCAAAAATCTCATATAAAAGCAGCAGAGATCACCTCACTTCTGCGGCAACACGAGGATAAGACAATGCATGGGGTCTTCTTCGAAGATTTCGCTTTTCTCAGGTCGAGTGGGCTGAAGTCGGAAACTGAGGGGTTCATCATGGCTTGCTTTCCATAAGTGGAAAAACTCCTATGACAACAAATATTATATGTTATTGGACCAAATGGTGAAATAGAAACGAATCCCTTTTAATGTTGAATGCATTATTTCATTTTTCTTTTTTAAGTATTTGAATAATTTTGTAAAGAAAAATGTTGAAATGATAAATTTAAAATGCGTTGTTTTAGAGCTCTTTTATGACTATTTGATTTTCGTCTGGAGGAACATTCCCCATTCTCATACTTCATCGCGATTGTGTTTGAAAATTAAACAAGAACCACTTATTGAATAGCGTCTTTCTGCAATAATTAAAATTTGACAGCTGCCAGTGAAGATTTGCGTTGATCAAAGTGTGCGTTTCAAAGTCTTCATAAAGAAACCTAAAAGCTCTGTATTTCAAAGAATGCTCTTGCAAAACATCAAGTATGATACATTTTTGGAAAGGTAATTTTGAGGTGACCATTGAATTTTACGTGAAAATGTGTTTTGGATATGTTTTCATAGAAACAAGAAAGTTACAGCAACTTTAAAAAATGCAGATTTTCGAAAAACATGCTGTAACTCTGAAACGATGATAGTTTTAAGTCAGTTTTCATCTATCTAGTTTGAAAACAGGAGTTTCCCTTGAAAAGTATCCAATTTGGCCCAGTCTGTACACATTGGAATTATATTAGCTATTATCGACGACTAATTCAACATATTTGGATCTTACAAGCTTCTCGAATAATTGGTCCAAGAAAAATTAAAAATTTCTCGCTGATCTGAATCAAGAATAAAATCGATCGTGATGATAGCTGAAAACCATTTTTTCGAAATTGTTTCAAGTTCTGCTCTGTATTGTGGAACTGAAGTTCTAAGTTATCATATAGTAGGATTCATTGACCTATTTTTAGCAATATAAGCAAGTTTTTTCCATTTGTTAAAACTGTGGAGTTATAGATTTCCGAAATGAGAAAGTTTTACAAAAATATCTAATTGAGGGTTGTTTCAGTATTTCAATAAATGATTTAGATTAAACAATTTCCTTCGATAATTTTATTCAAATCACGCTTTTTCCTATTTTGATCGTTTATATAGTTCTCCAAACATTAATAAAAAAAACAACAATTGGGTTATATGTACGAATATTTTCAATATGATTAGTTATTTGTTGCTTTCCTTCTCAGATTTTGCACACCTTATTACATCCGTTTTTTTTTTCAGGCAAACCCATTCCTCAAGATCTGTATGCATGGCTGGCAATTTTTGTGTTGCCAATAAACTCGGCTCTCAATCCAGTTTTATATACATTGACCACTACGATTTTCAAAAAACAGGTATGCTTTTTCGTCATACCATTCTTCAGTAAACCATTGAGAATTTTGTCATAAACTTGTTGTTGAATTTTTATCAGTGGGGTGATGGAATTGAGTGTTGAAAACAAATTTTGAAATATCTCCCAATTTTGTGAATGATGGGAATGAGTTTGAAAGTACATTTTCCTCATTTCCACCTCAACTACTTTTCAGAAAATTTGGGAGATGTGAGCGAAGAACGATTTCACCAAGATATTGAGGAGATGAAAAAAGATACCAGAAAAGCGTCTCAATGATGGCAGTCTGCTGTTGGGACTGTCAGGTAACTGGGAGTTTTATAGAACTACTCTAACGTCATACAACAAGAAAATTAGAAAGGCAAAACGGGAGTCTTGGAGGAAGTTTTGTCGGAGTATCTCTAATTTTCTTCGCAGGAAGAGAATTCACAACATTATCTCTAGAGAGCTGATTGCTGAAATTGGGTCGCTTGAAAAACCCGATGGAACATTCACGACCTTTAGTGAAGAAACGTTACAGCTTCTGATAGGAAACCACTTTCCTGGAAATCTGACTCTTTATAACAACAGACCTCCCATCTTCGAGGGCGCCTAAAGCCAAAAAAAAAGAGTGGGAAGCCATCAAGCACCGGCAGTTGAAAGGGCTATCAAGTCGTTTCAGCCCTTCAAATCTCCTGGAGAGGATGGCATATTTCCTGGACTGGACTTGCAATAATTTTACCTATTCTCATACACTGAGGATACACTACAAAAACACACTTTTGTCTATTTTCCACTATATTTCTTTATTGTTGACCGGTTTCGGCTATTACACCATTTTCAAAACTAACTGATTACATTTAAATCTGAGTAATTTATACCTATGTTGCTTATTCTATCATAAATGATTTGGTATACCTGATACCCGGTACCTGCGTTTCATATACCTGTAAAATCCATGAACATAACAAAGCTTTCAATATAATGTAGGTTTTGGGATCTGGATTATAGGTTCAGGAGAGGACTATTATTTAAATCAAGTTGTTCGTTGAGGACAATAGAATTGGGATTTTTCTTTGACCTGTTTATTTCCATAGATTCCAACAGATTCATCATTTTCCCTTTTTCGCATGTGTGTAGGATCTTTAAATTATCTTTATCTATTTTATGTTTCGAACTTTGAAGATGTTCGCACATTAATGATTTTTTATCCGAAATGACATGTTCGTGGTACCTTGTATCAAAATTTCTCCCAGTTTGGCCTGTATATATGGCGGGGCATTCACCACATTCTATTCGATATATACCAGATCTCTTCCCTTTCTCTAATTTAGGTTTGGCATTAAATAATATGTTTTCTAAATTTCCGTTGGATGTGTAGGATGTTTGTAAATTGAATTTTGAGAGATAATTTTTAATATTCTCGGAGATTCTACCAGCATAATTGATACTAACATATTTGTGTTCTGGTCTTGTGGAAATTGAGTATAGTTCTTTCATTATTGATTTTTGTTGATATTTCATTATTATGTTGTTAATTATAGTGGTAGGTATTTTGTTATTAACTGCTATTTGTTTAATGATTGCGATTTCACTTCGGACGTTTTGATCAGAAAAGGGTATTGTGAAAGCCCTATGTATCATTGACCTAAATGCAGACAATTTCTGTGAAATCGGGTTAAGAGAGTCAAAAGGTATTGTGCAATCTGTGAATGTGATTTTTCGGAAAATGTTAAAGTCGAGTTTATCATTGTTTTTGGATATTGTCAGATCTAAAAAATGTATCTCATTGTTCTCTTCTATCTCTTCGGTGAATTTGATCTTATCGTGTAGACTATTGAGGAATTTCAAATAATGAGATATTTGTCTAGTTGAACCATCGAAGCCTACTAATATGTCATCTACATATCTAAACCAGAACACGATATGTTTATGGGAAAGACAGTTATTCAAAATTAGATTAGTCTCTAAATTGTTTAGGAATATATCAGCTAGTAACGGACTTATCGGTGATCCCATCAGTAGGCCTGAGTTCTGCATATAAAATGTATCATTAAATTTAAAATAGTTTTGTTTTAAACACGTGTTGAACAGTTCACAGAGTTCACTGTTGACATATGGGTTAGTATTATGTCTATCTAATATGTTTTTAATCAGGGGAAGGCATTCATCTGTTGGAATATTTGGAAACATGTTCTTGATGTCAAACGATACTAATTTAATGTTGTTGTTAATTTTTATGTTGTTGAGTTTGTTTGTCAAGTCTTTAGAATTTAGTATCGTGTGAGAAAGTTTGAAATTAGTGATCTCCCTGAATTTGCAATTTAAGAATTTTGACAGCTTATAATTAGGGGTATTGGTATATGAAACTACCGGTCTGGCTGGGTTACCTTCTTTGTGTAGTTTAATTAGTTCATACATCTCAGGTGGACGGGGGTTCATGCAGGTAGTCTTCTTCTTGTCCCATGCTGTGGGAAAAGGGAACGTACAATGTTCAAGATTTTTCTTCAGATGGAGTGTAGAGGGTTTTGTGGGGTCTTTTTTCAACTCTGTGGTGTCCAATTGTTCTATAATATCTTGCATTTTTGAATCGTATTGTTGTTTACTCAGACATACTATGCTGTTACCTTTGTCTGCTCTGGTGAAAATTAGTTCTTCTTCTTTTGCCTTCTTGGATCTGGTTTTCACTGTCTTCATGACTTTATTATTTGTGGGTGGATGTTCTGCTTTCTTTATCATAGTTGTTAGCTTGTGTCTCTGTAATGTTGGGTTATCAATGATATTGAGGTTATTCGAAATGATTAGTTCCGTTTGTACTCCTATGATTTCTTCGGTTCTATTGAAATTATTACTAATTGGAGGAGTGAACTTTGGACCTTTCTCTAGTAATTCTGTTTCATCTTTGGTGAACTTACTATTTGAAAGATTGATGAATCTTGGGTAGAATTCATATTCCAAAGGTTGAATATCTTGTTCTTCTTCCAAATGTTGGGTTTGTTTGTTAACCAGGACTGCGAGTTTCTTTTGGAGGGTTTCATATTTGATCTTGGATCTTATACTCACTTCCTGATGTATCCTGTCTTCTAAGCAATCAAATTCTACATTATGTAATATGTGTTTAAGCTCATCTTGCACTAGTTTGATGTGTAGTTTTAGGTTATCTCTTGCTTTGTAATTGATCTTGATCTGTTCTTTCAGCCATATGTTCTCGATTTTGTGTCGAATTCTAGAGGTGACTTCATTTTTAACGCATAGTTTGTATTTGATATAGTTAGGTATAATCTTGAGTTTAGCACATTCTTTATTGAACATCAGATTCAGGGCTACTGTATTATATTTCACCTGTAATCTATAATACATTGTCATCAGTGTTGCTCGACTTGCTGATTTCACTTCTTCGATTGACGACTTGTTTATTCTGTGGAAATTCATGTTCACTGAGGATACACTACAAAAACACATCGAAGTGAAATCGCAATCATTAAACAAATAGCAGTTAATAACAAAATACCTACCACTCTAGTTACCAACATAATAATGAAATATCAACAAAAATCAATAATGAAAAAACTATACTCAATTTCCACAAGACCAGAACACCAATATGTTAGTATCAATTATGCTGGTAGAATCTCCGAGAATATTAAAAATTATCTCTCAAAATTCAATTCACAAACATCCTACACATCCAACGAAAATTTAGGAAACATATTATTTAATGCCAAACCTAAATTAGAGAAAGGAAAGAGATCTGGTATATATCGAATAGAATGTGGTGAATGCCCCGCCATATATACAGGCCAAACTGGGAGAAATTTTGATACAAGGTACCACGAACATGTCATTTCGGATAAAAAATCATTAATGTACGAACATCTTCAAAGTTCGAAACATAAAATAGATAAAGATAATTTAAAGACCCTACACACATGCGAAAAAGGGAAAATGATAAATCTGTTGGAATCTATGGAAATAAACAGGTCAAAAAAAATCCCAATTCTATTGTCCTCAACGAACAACTTGATTCAAATAATAGTCATCCCCTGAACCTATAATCCAGATCCCAAAACCTACATTATATTGAAAGCTTTGTTATGTTCATGGATTTTACAGGTATATGAAACGCAGGTACCGGGTATCAGGTAATATCAGGTATATCAAATCATTTATGATAGAATAAGCAACATAGGTATACATTACTCAGATTTAAATGTAATCAATTAGTTTTGAAAATGGTGTAATAGCCGAAACCGGTCAACAATAAAGAAATATAGTGGAAAATAGACAAAAGTGTGTTTTTGTAGTGTATCCTCAGTGAACCTGAATTTCCACAAAATAAACAAGTCGTCAGTCGAAGAAGTATTCTCATACAATTGCCTAGAGCTAGTCTGACGTGGAACTATATACCACCCAGTTGACAGTAAGTGGGTCGAAGAGGATGCATTATATGCATAACCACCAGTATGCTTATCAAACCGGCAAATCGACAGATTTAGCATTGAACAACCTTCCAGAGAAAATTTCCCAATCTCTTGACGATTTCGAAAGAGCATTTGAAAATGCACTCCCTAAATCTATAGGATCATCTCTGGCTAGGAAAGATATAGAATCGACCATGAATGGCTGGATCTATGCCATGCTGATAAACAGAACTGCAACTACGACTCTTCAAGACGAGGCCATCAGATTCAGGGTCACCAGAGACTGGCCTCAAGGTGGGGTACTATCTCCCCTTCTGTGATCGCTCCTGATGGATAGTCCGCTTGATGCCCTCGACAGGAGAAAAGTAGATCTACAAGCTTATGCAGATGATCTTGTCATCTTGGCAAGGTCCACGTCGGGATTGGTAGCTTGTAATATCCTCCAAAGCACGATGGACGTTGTTCACAATTGGTGCCTGAGGAAGCAGATGTCTGTCACCAGGTAGAGAATGTTGGACGATCTAACGCCACTTTCCTTCAATGGTGAAGTCATCCCATTTGGAACGGAGGTGAAATATCTTGGCATTGTCCTTGATGGAAAACTCACCTGGAACGCTCACTTGGAAAAAGTTCTACACAAAGCCAGGTTGTCCCTATGGATATGTCAATGGATTTGTGGTAAAACTTGGGGTTTAAGTACCAAACAAATTCATTGGATTTATGTGATGATCAATGTGTGATCAATGATCACGTATGGTGCAATTGCCTGGTAGCCAAAAGCTTTACAGAAAACGGACCAGGTGAAGCTCTCTAGCTTACAGAGACAGCCTTGTCTAGCCATCAGTGGTGCCATCAGTTTCCCACCGTCAGCAGCCATGAAGATCCTTCTAGATCTACCTCCTCTCCACATTTTTCTGGAAAGAGAGGCTAGATGGACTGCATATAGACTTGTGCACATTGCCAATTGCAGAAATCAATTTGATGCAAAGTGCAACAGACTGTTGATTAACACTGATAGTCACAGAAATGACCTCTGACTTTATGCCGCCAATTGTCAACTATGAACCGCCTTATAAAGGACTGTTCCTAAGTAGAGAGGACTGGATCCTCCGGGAGAAGGAAATATTGAGAGCAGACAGTTATTGGTTCACAGATGGATCAAAAACCCCTTCCGGTGCTGATGCAGTTGTTGTCAGTCGCAGATCGAGGACAGATATATCAACCTGCCTAGGAATCTACGCAACTGTATTTCAAGCGGAAATTTACGCTATTGAATTGTGCACGGAGAGTTGAAAGAATCCAACCTCATACACAAGTCAATAAAAATATTATCGGACAGTAAACCCTTGCGGGTTTCGGTGGAGGCTCGAACAGACACTCTCACTTCAGGCCTAACCTACCTTCACAAAACCAAATCTTGCTAGCGAAATAATGAACATTGCTGCTGTAATCAATTTTTTTTACCCTGACAAGTGGGGAAAAATTGAAAATTCGACATTTTTGGTGATCTGAAATTTAGGCTCTAAACTGAGGGGGAACATGCAATTTTGCATAATTGTCAAATAACTCATTGGAAGTAAAACGTGGTCCTCCGCTAGTCAAATTTCTCTTTTCTCGTCCTACTTCTCGGCTCAGAATGACCTGTTGTTACAGATGAGGAAAATCTACAACTCTTGTTGGCGCAAGAAGAGGTCAGAACAACATCATGCAGGATCTGAGTCTGGATTCAGTCTCAGTTTCGGAGTTTTTCCTATTGGCAGCAGTACTAGGAGATTATTCGGTAGTAGGGTGAGTACTACATTACAAACGTACCGTTATCCAAACGTACCGTTTTAGAACAACACACAACCATAGAAACATCGAATCAAAAACATATAAATACAATGTGGCTCAAATTCATTTTTGTTGTTAATCTCCAACATAGTGTGTTTTCATTTCGTTTCCACTTACCGAACTGCGCCTTTTCTGGGGTAAACAAAACTCGAGATCAATTTTTTGTCACTTTTTTTTAATGGTACATAGGATTATCCCAGAATACTTAGTCCACACTAAGAGCTTTCAGAAAATGTAGGAATTATAATAATAATAATAATCTTTATTCAATTTTCATAATACAGTGAGTGATATTTTATGAGTGTAAGGTATAGCTGTCTGGTGTCCATGATTTCTGCTTCTAGGTACAGTTGATCTGAGTTGTATAGTCGATCTTTTGAGGAAATGAGCTTGAGAAACCATTTTTGACTTATTTCTAGAAGATGTAGGTAGGTTTTCGCTGCAGCACCTCATCCTAGTATTCCATAGCGAAGATGACTTTCCACTAGTGCGTGGTATAGTATTTTTAGTAGGTGGGTTAGTAAAATGTTTTTGAGATATTTTAATCTATATAGAATAGTCTGTGGTTCATTAATAATATATTTTATATGTGAATCCCATCTTAAGTGTGAGTCGATTATGACTCTCAGATATTCACTTCCATTGAGTGATAAGATATGGCATGGCTTGTCATTTATGTTCACTGTTGAGTTATCGAATATGGGTAAACCAGTTCTGTAACAGCTGAAAGGGACGTAGTTTATTTTTTCTAAGTTCACTGTGAGTAGTTTACTACTCAAAAATTTTTCATTTTACTGAAGTCATTTTGAGTTTTTTCTTTGAGTGCCTATCAGGTATCAGCAGAGCAGTATAAGGTTTTGCTGTATCATCAGCGAAAGCAATAATAAATCCATCACTTTGAAGAGAGTATAGTTCGTTCACGTATATATTGGAAAGAATGGGTCCTAAGATAGTACCTTGTGGTATTCCTTATTCAATTTTTCTCGTTTCGCTGACAACTTGGTCGAATTTCACTCGTTGATATCTATTTGAGAGGTAATTTTCGAAGAGCTTCAGACTCTGTCCTCTTACACCTATGTTTTCAAGTGATTTCAAAAGCAAACCGTGATGAACCGAGTCAAATGCTTTGATAATGTCTATGAATATGCAAAGACACGGTTTGCTATCATTAAATGCTGTGGTTAACGTTACGTTAAAGTCATTATTGCGTTCTCTGTTATATTATATTATATTTAGTCAAGAATGAAAAACGATTTTTTAAAGCTTTTTCAAACATTTTGGAAATGTGTGTTATAAGAGAAATAGGTCGGTAGTTTGTGATTATGGTATGGCCCCCTTTTTTGTATAAAGGAATTATGAGTGACTCTTTGAAGTCTGACGGTCATATACTAGATTCGAAACAACTATTAATTAAGTATTTTAATGGTTCTAGATTATGGTTTGCTATTGATTTGATGGTTTCTGACCTGATGTTATCTTTACCAGTAGCTTTTTTGATTTTCAGACTTTGGATTATGTTGTAGATCTCATTTGAGTCTATAAGAAGAAGAACCAAGGAGTTGCATACCTACATCCTTTTCAGCTGGTGTATAGGTTGCTGTTTTGTTTATTTTGCTTGCTAATGTTTTTCCAATGGATGCAAATACTTCGTTGAATTCGTTGGTAATATTTTTTTGTCGGTGATGAGGTTATCTGAACCTCGAACTAAATTTTTAGTACCCCAGACTGTCACATTTAACAATAGACCCATAACTGAAACAGCGGCTAACATTGTATCTGAAAGCTCGATTAATTTTAACCCCTGTCACAATTCAACTTCTATTTTATATTATAACCTGAAAGAACAAACAAATAATAATCTTCTCTCATCAATTTTATGGAACATTCAGTCAATACGGAATAAATCTGATGAATTGTTTATTTACTTAAAAGAATTGAATTTTCCAAACATCATATTGATAAATGAGCATTGGTTAAAACAAGACGAATCAATTTTTGTACGAAATATAGCAGATCCATTCACTCAAATGGTGATACTTTGATTCTTGTGAATGATTGGGTGAATGACAAATTGGGCTTTGAAAATTTTGAAAAATTAAATTATTTATGTGAAGAAAAACTATTTGAGTTTTCAATTGTATATTCAAAGAAATTTAAAATATACATATTATGTATATATCGATCACCCTCGTCAGATATATACTCTTTTTTGACAAAATTAAAGTCATTACTGATTGAGTTTCTACGTAAATCTACCATTATTTTGACTGGAGACTTCAACATAAATTTTGGCGATACTGAGTCAAATATAACACACTCCCTTATCAACCTCATTCTATCGTTTGATCTAAGCATTCATGTAGAATCACCTACCCACATAACTCAGTACAGTCATTCGATCATTGACTATGTATGTAGCAATTTAGATAATGATAAAAGCCAGTGTTCGGTAGATTCACCTATTGCTCTATAGCAGAAAAATTAACAAAAACATACCAACTTCTCTTAATCCGCTGACTCATTTAGAGAACATATGGATCGCTGATAACTTTATTTTACACCCTACTGATGCAAATGAGTTTAAAGAAATAATTCAATCTCTTAAAAATAAAAAGGCCGCGGGAATGGACGAAATTTCAATTATCATTTTTGCTAACCTTCCTGATACCAAATTAAATACTCTAGCGTTCGTAATAAACTCATCCTTCAAGACCGGAACATTCCCTTCCTGCCTAAAAAAATCAATAGTTATCCCATTGCACAAAGGTGGTGATCTCAGTGATCCTTCGAACTTCCGTCCTATATGTCTCATTCCCACTCTAGGCAACCTAATAGAGAAACTGGTTAAATTAGGATTGACAGTTTTTTTAAATAATAATTGTGTCATAAGCAACAACCAGTTCGGCTTTCAATAAAAAAAGAACACCCATGATGCTATATTCTCTTTGTTTTATGACGTTTATGGAAATATCAATAAAAAAGCATCAGCAGCAGTGTTCTGTGACTTTGCTAAAGCCTTTGACTGTGTAGATCATAGAATACTGCAAAAAAAACTGTATCATTATGGCATCCGTGGAATTACTCACAAGTGGTTCAAAAATTATCTCACAGGATTATCTCACAGGAAATCAGATTGTGAAAACCTCATCATCCTCATCAGAAGCCGAAATAAAAAATGACGTACCACAACGTTCAATACTAGGACCGATACTTTTCCTGCTATACAGGAACGATTTAGCATCTATCGATATAAAAGAAAAATTCACCCTATTTGATGATGACACCACAATATTGTGGCGTGATAAAACTTTATGTAATCTCCACGAGATTATAAAAAAAATTAAAAAGTGGTGCGACTCTAATCTGCTGTCATTCAATGTTTCCAAAACAAATTCAATATCATTCCGCTGCTTTATTGACAGCAGTCTTTTACCAACACAGAACGCGGACAGGATAATTGAAAACAGACCTAGTACTAATTTTTTGCTTGAAGCTAGCTTCAGGGTGTTTTGCAGTGAGAATAACATATAAGGATCTTGGTTTGTCTGCTGCTAAATCGGCTTATTTCTCACTTGTTGAGTCACATTTAAGGTATGGAATTCTTTTCTGGAGAGTATGTTGCAAAACTCAAATAAAGACGGTGTTCATTATTCAAAAAAGGGCTATAAGATTCATGTGTAATAGTTACAATAAATTCGGCACTTCTCGTTTCCCACAACGGATTCAATATCCCATTGAGCGTAGGGCAGCATCGGTGTCTAGTCAATACCGTAAGAGTGCCGTAATATAACACTCTTAGGGCCGCGTTATGTCGATGGATATAGGCCGAGACCGCATATGCTGAACATGCTGATAGCAAGTGCATTAGGGTCTCGGGCGCCTCGCGGCAGGCCCTGCACCTTGTGTCAAGAACCTCTATACCCATCACGCGGTAGACTAAGGTGTTGAAGACAACATCCTGGCAAGCCATGATGAACCCCTCAGTTTCCGACTTCAGCCCACTCGACCTGAGAAAAGCGAAGTTCAGGTACTTTGATAAGCCAAGGTCTTCAATGTTATTGAAGAAGACCCATGCATTGGCTTATCCTTGTATCTCCGCAAAAGTAAAGTGATCTCTGCGGTTTTTATCTGAGCTTTTTGCTGAACGAGTTCCAACTCGGTGGCAGAGTTGTGGTCGCCTCGTTCAGTGTCGAAAACTATACCGAGTTCATCAGCTGCTCGGGCAGCTACCCTAAAGAGAAATGCTGCAATTCCTGCTCTCTCATGACCACGGACCATGCCGAGAAGGGGATTTGAACTCCTGATGACTTTACAGGCTGTATCCAGCACCATTCTGTCATGCAGACACTCCAAACTCAAAAGTCCACGGCCTCCCTGTTGTCGGGGGACGTACAACCGTGGAACGGACGATTCAAGATGCAAACTCCTATAGAGATGCATCATTTTTCGGGTCTTTAAGTCGAGTTGATACAGCTCCTCCCGAGTCCACTTCACTACTCCAAACGAGTAGAGTAAGATTGGAACGGCAAGCATATTTGTTGCAGCAACTTTGTTCTTCCCCTACAGTTCCAATGACCAGATCTGTCAAAGTTTGTGCTGATACTTGCCGCGGAGAGAGTTTTTCACTGCTGTTACCTCTTGTGAGAGACGTTGTTCCACCTCGAGGTGAGTATACGTCTCTCCGGCATCCAGATGGTGTAAGATGCTTCCATCTACGAGCTGCACATCCTGTCCGTAGTCCCCGCATCGTCCTCTTTTGAGATGTACCATTGCATATTTGTCTATCCCGAATTTCATACCGATAGCATGCGTGTACTCTTCCAACACCCTCAAGGACTGATGGAGATCCTTCTCTCCAGAGGCATAAAGTTTAAGATCATCCATATAAAACAAATGGGTGACCTTGTGCCTCCGGTTTCTGGGGGTGCCATAGTTATATCCTCGAGTGTTTCTGA